GTCGAAATATGTTAACTCGATCCACACCGTGCCTACAACCGAGCGTCAAGAGATTGAGTTCTAACTACCAACTCTGACAGAACCACCACAACCCATGAAGCCACACGATGTAGCACAATCTGAATTGCCACAGCAAATCCCTTTGCACAGGAGTCGATATTGTCTGAAGAAGGTGTCGAGACGTAAGGAGCCTCAGCATTCCACAGTCCCAGAAGGACCAAGTACTCCCCCTGCTGTGCCAGCATCAGACTCTGAACACTCCAACCCCACACAAATGTGAAAGCGCACACGTCGCACGACCCGGCGCACCATCACCCGCATAAAAACCTAGGTACCTTGTATTACATTGCATTTCATAGCACATAGTTTAGTTTTACCTTAGTTCTTAGTAAGCATTGAGGATAATGCTTCTCTCAAGTTTGGGGGAGGTAGGGTTCTCAAATCATTACATGATAGTATTAGTAGAATGAATATGCCTTGACATTAGTAAGTATTGGAATAGTTTTCTGGAATAAATTAATGATGCCCAATGATGAGGAACTCTTTATGGCTAGAATTGAATGTACATGACTTTTAAGGATGATAGAACCAACTCTAGGACTTGCTTCTTTGAAACCTTTGAATACACAATTGTATGTTTTCCATGCTTAAGGAACTTAGAAATTTTTTATAAGAGAACTCTTGCATATCATAAATGATGAAAACCCCGTAAAAAATGAATGAAAAAAATAAAAAAAATGAAATTACGAATAAATGCTTCAAAATATCTGTAGAGGGACACTCTGCTATGCCACGGCATTGCCTGGAAACTACATTTAAATAAATGGTAGCAACAACATATGAGTGAATAAAAGAGTCACATGATGACTCTACCTGACTAGCTCGGGGGTAGAAGGTATTTCCCTTTCTCCTAGAGTGTGGGATGGTAGGTGTGATGGGCCGACTCCCCTCTTAACAGTGTAAAAAAAAAAAGAAAAAGAAGAAGAAAACAATGTGGGAGTAAACCTGTAAATGTCGTGGTAAAACAAGAGAGCTCGCTTAGAAATTTTAGGTTAGTTAAGAATGGACTTGATACAATCACATGCACACACTCACACAAAGGATATTACCCTAGGGGACAGTACTTGATTTCTCAAACTAGTCTAGCATGTTGAAGCCAAATGTTCTGAGGGCTGAAATTCTATCCCATATAACTATTATGCTTCTGAACTTGCCATGGTATTTTTATTTTGCTTAATACTATCCATTGCTTGAGAACAAGCAATAAATTAAGTTTGGGGTGTGATAACTCCATAAAAAGGTCATATTTGAGACCTTTTCACTTAAGTTATTGATTGTCTAAGAGCTCATATAGGATCATATAGATTCATTTAGGAGCATATAGTTGCATGTGGTGGAATTCTGTTTGCCGAGACATTTTATTTTGTAATCAGTGATGCTCTATGGGGAAAGTGTTTGTTTGATGATATGCAGGATTTGGGAGCAAGGATAAGAAAAAAGGAATTGCCAACGACATTTCTGGGCAGAAAAGATAAAAGAAGATATTTTTAGTAAGAGCCAATTGTCATTATCTATACGTGATTTCTACAATTAACCACATAGGAGGGGCCTATTATCATCTCTGCACCATCTCTCACATAAAAGGAATGAACTTTAGGGTACTATGATAATTTTAACACAAAACCCTAGGTTATCCCCCCTATAAATAAGAGATAAAGCCACAATGAAAAACGAATTTACACACGCCACTAAGAGCCTAAAAATTCAGAGAAAAAGTTCTCCACCAATCCTATTTGTCGTGGCATTCCTCCGTTGACAAGCTAGAGGGAGTGACGTTCTAGGCATCCGAGAGGAGCTAGTTTGCTGGGACAGTTCGTGGTGGTTGAGGGAAGCTCTGACAGTGCACGTCGAAGGCTTTTCCTCCTTCCCTTTGCTATTTGATTTCATTATTTATCATTTGGGTTGTAAGGAACAGATTTAATTGCTTTGTGATTGATATATTCGAACCCCACCATGAACTAATCTTATTTTGTGGGAGTTCATTTTGGATATTTAAGATTTTCTTTAATGAATGGTTGTTTTTATATGTTATTATTTGTTTTGTTTATGGATCTTAGTGCCATAAGGTTGTAGGAGCTATGAGAGTAGCCATTCCTTAGAAGATTACTTAGTGTTCGAGAGAATGTCTAGGTAGCACATCCTTAGTGTTCGAGAGAAACTAGGAAGGAACCACATAAGCAAGGGGTTCTAGATAGTAACTAGGCCTAATCCACCTTAGAGATAAGGCTATGATTTCATTCGACTAAAAGGAGTTGTGCATGAACGATAGGTTAGATGTTAATGTTGTCGCAAAAAGGTATTGCCGAGACATATCCTATTTTCTAGACCAATAGGATCACTGCAAGGGCTAACACCAACCGGTTTTGCCAAGGCATCTTCAATCTGTCGAGTCCCTTAACTAGATATAGCATAGGGCACTCTAAGTAAACTTTGTCGGGAAGATAAGGCATAGAAGTAAGACCATTCTGAGAAGTAGACTTAAATTTTCCTAAGCGAGTCCTATCATTCATTCCCATTATAGCTTATCGTGTGAGGAAGTCTAAAGTCTTGATAACCAAACTAGTTTTGCTTTTACATTTTCATTTGATTGTACTACAATTTAATTTGTCACGAAATTTATATCCATTTGGCCCAACACATTATATTTGCTGTTATTTAATTCCCACTTATATCCATGTCATTTTGTCACAACATTATCATTTGTGAATACCATTAGCTATACTTAGTTACTTTAGAATAGTGTATAAACTTTACTCAAGATCTCTCCAATCCCTGTGGATACGATACTCACTCATCACTGTATTACTTGTTCGATTGTGTATACTTGCACATATTTTCGTGATCATATATAGTAGTCACAATACGCTGACACCCCTTCTAGAATCGATGACCTCTTTGACCAGCATAAGAGAACATATGTTTTCTCCAAAATAGATTTGAGGTCAGGGTACTACCAGTTGAAGGTTAAAGAAGATGATATAGTAAAGATGGGGTTCAGGATAAGATATGGTCACTATGAGTTCGTTGTAATACTATTTGGACTTATCAACACCCAATGACATTCATGGATCTAATGAACCGATTTTTCATTCATACTTGGACCAGTTTATGGTAGTTTTCATAGACGATATTTGGTATACTCACGATCAGAGGATGAACACAACTGTCATATTTGCATAGTTCTTTAGACTCATCGAGACCGTCAGTTGTTTGATAAGTTTGGGAAGTGTAAGTTTTAGTTATCTAAGGTTTCATTTTTGGGGCATGTTGTAGCAGTGGATGGTATTTGAGTTGATCCTCAAAAGAATCACGTGATACTTAAGTGGGAGCTTCCAAGACCGTAACCAAGGTGCTTAGTTTCTTAGGCCTTATCGACTATTACCATTGATTTGTGAAGGGTTTCTCCATGATAACAACCCCAATAGCTAAGTTACTTCAGAAGAGAGTTTCGTTTGCATGGGGTGAGAAAACCCAGAGTAGTTTTGAACAACAAAGTAGTTTTGAACAGCTGAAAACTCTTTTGACCCAAGCCTCAGTCTTAACCCAACCCGAGTCAGGAAAATATTTCACAGTGTTTAGCGATGCTTCGCTAAACTATTTGGGGTGTATGTTGAAGAAGAGGGAAAAGCGGTAGCTTATGCATCCTGTTAGCTTAAGCCTTATGAGAAAAATTACCCCACCCATGATTTAGAGCTTGCAGTCATATTTTTTTATGCTCAAGATTTGGAGGCACTATCTGTTTAGGGAAAAATATCTTATCTTCACCGACTACAAGAGTTTAAAGTATCTACTTACTCATAAGGAGTTAAACCTGAGACAAAGTAGATGGGTTGAGTTGTTAAAGGACTATGACTTTATTATCAATTACCACCCGGAAAAAGTAAACGTTGTAGATGATGCTCTGAAAAGAAAGTTGATGTCAGAGCTGAGGGCCTTATTAGCATGCTTAAGTTTATCTAGTGATAGGGGAATGTTGGCCAAACTCCGAGTAGGATCAGAGTTAATGAGTAAGGTCAAGAGATTATAAAGTGAAAATAATCGTTTGAGGGTTCGTATAGAGCAAGTCTACTGAGGTAGGGCCCCAGGGTTTGAGTTACGAGATGGTGATATGTTGTTCTTTAGGGGTCAGTTATGTGTACCCGATATCAATAAGTTGCATAATAATATCCTTCACAAGGCTATTGTAGTCCATTTTCAGTTCACCCTGGTATCAACAAGATGCACCAAAAGCTTCGACCTGTGTATTTTTGGCCTGACATGAAGAGAGATGTGTTTGAGTTTGTTGCGAAGCGTTTGGTATGCCAACAAGTCAAGGTGGAACATTAAGTTTCTTTGGGATTTCTACAATTAATTTAGATACCACAGTTGTAGTGGGATATCGTAACAATGGACTTTGTAACCAATTTACTGATAACGAGACTCAAGCATTATACAATTTGGGTGATAGTAGATTGGTTGAGCAAGTATGGTTACTTCTTACCAGTTAGGAATGATTTCACTTTAAAAAGATTAGGGCAGCTCTAAATCCATGAGATAGTGAGGTTGCATGGAGTCCCAACTTCAATCATTTCAGATAGAGACCCTAGGTTCACTTCTCGAATTTGGAAAGCTCTGTGTGAGACCCTAAGACCAAACTCCATTTTAGCATCGCGTTTCATCCTTAAACAGACTGTCAGTTAGAGCCCGTTATTGAGTTTATTGAGGATATACTTAGGTGTATCGTTATTGATCTTAAGGGTAGTTGGGAGGACCACTTCCTTTAGTGGAGTTCGTATATAAAATAGTTATCAGTCGACCATTCAGATGGCCCCGTTCAAAGCTCTATATGGGTGTAAGTAAAGAACTCCTCTTTGTTGGATTGAGCTTAGTGAAGGGAAGAGAGTAGGACTAGATCTAATCAAAGAAACCAAAAAAATGTCAGAATGATTCAAAGTAGACTGATGGAGGTATTAGATAGGCAGAGGTCTTATACGAATTGGAAATACAAGGAAATCGAGTTTGTTGTGACCGACAATGTATTCCTTAAGGTGTCTCCATGGAAGAAAGTGCTTCGATTTGGACACAAAGGGAATTTGACCCCGCATTTCATTGGTCATTATGAGGTGTTTGAGAGAATCAGACTGGTAACCTTTCGTTTAGCCTTACCCCCAAAATTGGAGTACATTCATAATGTGTTTCATATATCCATACTTCAAAGGTATCCTTTCGACCCATCGTATGTCCTATCCTTAGAGCAAGTCGAGTTGAGCTCTGATATGACCTGCGAAGAGAAATTGATCCAAATTCTAGCAAAAGAGGTGAAAGAGTTGAGGAACAAGAAAATTCTTTTAGTAAAGGTGCTTTGGAGGAATCATGGAATCAGGGAAGCTACTTGGGAAACCGAAGAAGACATGCAATTACAGTACCCCATCTCTTTTATCCAGGTAAATTTTGAGGATGAAATTTCTTATTAGAAGAGGAGAGTTGTAACGTCCTGAATCTCGGGTTAGTAGTTCGAGTCAACTCGAGACCCATAAATTGAGCCAAATAACCCATTAGAATAGTTTGGACTTAATTAAGTTGAGAGTGGGACTTGAGTTGGGCCCAACATTTAGTGGTGATTCAAGTTAAAACAGAAAGCAGAGGGACTAAAAGTGTAAATTCCCCTTGTTATTTTGAATGATAAAAAATCCCCTCTCTATTATATGATTTTGATGTAACCACTCCCCCAAAACACTCACCAAACACTCATCTTCTCATTCTCATCATTTTTCTCTTCTTCTTTGTTTCTAAGGTGAAGATTTCAAGCATTTCAAATTTAGTTGGTTAATCAAAGGTGAAAATATTAATCTTCATCCCTCAAGCTTCATTTTAAGCTCCACATCTCAAGTTTTGAGCTTATAAACCAAAAATAGGTTTTTAGGGATGTTTAAGAGAATCAAGTGAGATTTTTGAGGTTAGAAAGGATTAAGAACATGTTTAAAAATATGGTGTGAGTTTTAGATTCAAGTATTGAAGTGAGATTTTATCCGTTGTTTGTGAGTAGTATAAATGGTGCGGATATGTGTACAAGTATACACAATCGAACAAGTAATAAAGTGATGAGTGAGTATCGTTCTCCGCAGGGATTGGGGGAAATCAAATAATTTTGTCACGAAACTTTACTCTGTCACCGAAGTAAAGTTAGAGATGGTATATATACAAATGGTAATGCTGTGGCAAAATGAATAGATGGTATGGAAATGGAACGATGACAATGTGGTAGCAAATGGATATGTTGTGGCAAAAGGAATTGTGTGTACTGTAATCAAATAAAAATGTAAAGGCAAAATAAACTGTAAATATTGGATTTGATTATAAGGACTTTAGACTCCTCACACGACAAGCTACTATGGGAATGAGTGATATGAGTTACTTAGGAAATTTAAGTCTACTTCTCAAAATGGTTTTACTTCTATGATTTATCTGCCCGACAGAGTTTACTAAAGGTGCCCTATGCTATCTCTAGTAAGGGACTCGACAGATTGAAGATGCCTTGGCAAAACCGATTGGCGACCTATTGGGGCATCCTATTGGTCCAGATAACAGGATATGTCTCGGAAATACCTTTTTGCAGCACATTAACATCTAACCTATCACTCATACACAACTCCTTTTAGTCGAATGAAATCCTAGCCTTATCTCTAAGGTGGATTAGGCCTAGTTACTACCTAGAACCCCTTGCTTATGTGGTTTCTCCCTAGTTTCTCTCGAACACTAAGGACGTGCTACCTAGAAATTCTCTCGAACACTAAGTAATCTCCTAAGGAACGGCTACTCTCGTAGCTCCTACAACCTTAAGGCTCTAAGCTTTATAAACAAAATAGAATATAACATAAAAAATAATCATTCATTAAAGCAAAACTTAAATATCAAAAATAAACTCCCACCAAATAGGATTAGTTCATAGTGGGGTTCGAAATAAACAAGCACAAAGTAAGTTAATCCGTTCTTTGCAACCCAAATAATAAATAACGAAAGCAAAGGGCAAAGGGAATGAGGTAAAGCCTTTGACGTGCACTGTTGGAGCTTCCCTTAGCCACCACGAATAGTCCCAACGATCTAGCTCATCTCGGACACCTAGTTCACCACTCCCTATAGTCTGTCAACGGAGGAATGCCACAACAAAAACGATTGACGGAAAAAGAGAGAACTTTTTCTCTGAATTTTTATGCTCTTGGCGGCTGTCTAAAAAACTCTCAGTCTCCTCAAAAAGTCAGGCTTCATCTTCTATTTATATGGGAGAATAAACCTAGGGTTTTGTGTTAAAATTACACTAGCACCCTAAAGTTCATTCCTTTTATGTGAGAGTCGGTGCAAAGATGGTAAGTGACCCCTCCATTATGGCTGATTGCAGAAAGCACTTTTTATGCCATGACTGCTAGCTCTTACTAAAAATATTCTTCTTTCGTTTTGATCGCTCTCGAAATGCCAACTGGTTCGGCATTTGCATTCTGCTCAAAAGTCTCCTTATGTTATGGCATTTCCCTTTTGCTTTTCCTTGCTCCCAAATCTTGCACATCACCAGACAAACACCTTCCCCATAAAGCAGCACTTATTACAAAATAAAATGTCGCGGCAAACATAATTTCACCACATGCAACTATATGCTCCTAAATGCATCTATATGATCCTATATGAGCTCTAAGACAGTCAATAACTTAAGTGAAAAGGTCCCAAATATGACTTTTTACGTAGTTATCACACCCCCAAACTTAAGCTATTGCTTGTCCTCAAGCAATGGATAGTATTAAGCAAAATAAAAATACCATGGCAAGTTCAGAAGCAGAATATTTATATGGGATATAATTTCAGCCCTCAGAACATTTGGCTTCAACATGCTAGACTAGTTTGAGAAATCAAGTACTGTCCCATTGGGCAAGATTCTTTGTGTGGGTGTGTGCGTGTGTGTATCCAGTCCATGCTTAACAAACCTAAAAAATTTCTATGCAAGTTTTCTTGTTTTGCCACAACATTTATAATTTTTACTCCCACATTGTTTTCTTTTCCTTTTTTTCTTTTTTTAACACTGCTACGAGGGGAGTCAGCCCATCACACCTACTATCCCACACTCTAGGTGAAAGGGAGCATACCTTCCACCCCCGAGCTAGTCAGGTAGAGTCATCCCGTGACTACTTTCATTCACTCATACACCATAGCTTCCATTTATTTATTTGTAGTTTCCAGAAAATTCCATGGCATAGTGGAGTGTCCCTCTACAGATATGCCGAAGCATTTATTCACAACTTCAATTTTTTTTTACTAAGTGGGGTTTTCATCGTTTATGCCAAGACATGCAATAATCCTCTTATAAAAATTTAAGTTCCTTAAGCATGAAAAAACATACAATCGTGAATTCAAGGGTTTCAAAGAAGCAAGTCCTAGAGTTGGTTCTATTATCCTCAACAGTCATGTACATTCAATCCTAGCCATCAATAGTTCATCATCATCGGGCATCCTTAATTTTTTCCATAAAACCAATTCAACCATTTACTAATGTCATAGCATATTCATTATACTAATACTATCATGCAATGATTTAAGAACCCTACCTCCCCCAAACTTGAGAGAAACATTATCCTCAATGCTAAATAAAACTAAGGAAAAATCTAAACTACATGCTATGAAATTCAATACAATGCAAGGTACCTTGATCATGCTTGTGGTGGTGCGGAAGTCGTGCGAAGTGTGTGCTTTTGTAATTGTGTGGGGCTGGAATGTTCAGAATATGATGCTAGTACGGTTGAAATCTGGATGGACCCCAACCTTGCAAAGAAAAACAAAATAGTAAAATAAAAGGACACTGAATAAAAATAGTAACAAAATAAACATTTATTTATGCACAAGAGTAAATCTAAAATGTCACGACATCCTTAAGATGTTGGGCCAGTATCAACTTCATGCAAGAAAAATGCAGTCTTGTCACGCAATGGTGGGAATCCTTGGTATGCCTTCAGGCGCTGGCAATTGACTTTAAATATGGACCCATCATCCATGTTCTTGATATCCATAGCGCCATACGGGTAAACATGGTGGACTTCGAATGGTCCCGACCATCGTGACTTCAGTTTGCCAGGGAAGAGTTTGAGACTAGAGTTAAACAGGAGCACTTTCTTTCCAACATGAAAATGTCGTGGCAAAATAATTTTGTCATGTCACTTCTTCATTTTTTCCTTGTAGAGCTTGGCATTTTCATATGTTTGTGCTCGAAACTCTTCCATCTCATTCAGATCGAGTAGTCGTTTCTCCCCAGTTAGTTATACGTCGAAGTTCATCTTCTTGATTGCCTAGTGTGCCTTATGTTCTAGCTCAACTGGCAGGTGAAATGCTTTTCCATATACCATCTTGAAGGGCGACATTCCCAAAGGTGTTTTAAATGTCGTTCGGTATGCCCAGAGTGCTTCATCGAGTTTTGGGGACCAGTCTTTCCTTCGGGAATTCACCACCTTCTCAAGAATCTGCTTAACTTCACGATTGGACACTTTAGCTTACCCATTTATTTGTGGGTGATATGCCGTGGCAATTTTATGTCGCACTCCATATTTCTGTAAAGCCTTGGCAATTAGCTTGTTGTCAAAGTGGGTGCCCTCGTCACTGATAATGGCTCTTGGTGCTCCAAATCGAGTTAAAATGTTCTTGTGAAGGAACTTGAGCACCATCTTCGAGTCATTCCTTGGTGCCGCAATCGCTTAAACCCACTTGGATACGTAGTCCACCGCGAGTAAAATGTATAAGTTTCCAAAAGAAGATGGGAACGGTCCCATAAAATCGATGCCCCAAACATCGAATAGCTCTATCTCCAAAATATTTTGCAGCGACATTTCGTGTCGTCTGAAAATGTTCCCAGTACGCTGGCATCTGTCGCACGCCTTGAAAAATTCGTGGGCATCCTTAAATAGTGATGGCCAGTAGAAGCCTGATTGGAGGACCTTGACAGCAGTCCTCGCACCTCCAAAATGCCATCCACATGGTGTTGTGTGGCAATGGTGTAAGATATCGTGTTGCTCCTCTTCGGGGACACACCGTCGAATCATTTGATTGGCACATTGCTTGAACAAGTACGACTCGTCCCAAAAATAGAACTTGACATCATGCAGAAACATCTTTTTTCCCTGGTTGTTCAATTCATATGAAAAAACACCACTAACAAGAAAATTAACGAGGTCAGCATACCACGAAATTGTTGTGGCATATAAAATTTTCTCGTCAGGGAATTCTTCTTTAATATAAAAAATGTCATGGCATTCAGAAATGTTTTCTAGCCTAGATAAATGGTTTGCAACCTGGTTCTCTATACCTTTCCTATCAACTACCTCTAAGTCGAACTCTTAGCAATAATAACATATTCCAATCTCAATTTTCTCTATACTTGGTTCGAAGAATGCCTTTTGGACTCAAATTATGTTGTTTCAATAATAACATATTCCAATCTCAATTTCCCTCTTAGCAATCCATTTGCTAAGTGTGTTCCCAGGAAGTCGAATGTACTTTCAATAAGCTGATCCTTCCTCCCACACGGTTAATCGCAATAACATCCTAACCAAGGTCAATTTTTGGTTTTGAAAATTGTTTTGATTTTTGAAAATAAGCGCAAGAAATCGAGAGAGATTTCTAAAGTTGTTCAAGTACTTTTTTCAATTGACGCGTTGGAATTGAATCATCGCTTTAGCCCTCGGCTTAAAAGAAAATTAGCTAAGCATGACAAAAGTCATACTTAGCATATTAAAAATAAAGCTTTAAAATAAAAATAAAGAAAATGCGAGTAAGAGAAAAAAAGAAAAAAGTTTTATAAAAACAAAATTAAAGAACTTCAAGATTCGAGTGATGATTGTTTAGGCTCACCCAAGGAAGGCATTTATAACCTTTGGAAACCTTAGAGATGCTAAAAATAATCCTAAGAAAATACAAAAGATAATTCCTAAACTTGAATTTAAAATGCTTGAAATGCTCTAGTCGTCCATCTATCTTCCAGAATCACTGACTGGATCTTCTAGAAGCTGTTGACTCACTGTCATGTAAGCATTTCATGTCCAATGTTCAAGCCTTGATTCTAGAACAAAAAGTGCAATTTTTAGTCCTTTTAAGCACATTTTCAAGAAGTCATAGTCCTACAAAAAATCATGTAAAAACGTCCAAATCAGCAATAAAGATGAACAAACGAGGAGTATTTAATCATAAAATATAACACAAAATAAACATTAGTCACGTATTCTATATAATCAATTTGATTTCATATTTATTATATTTTCCCTTGCAAGTAAAGACAGACGATAATATTACTGATAAAATTTTAAAAATATATATAGAGGTGATTAAAAGGTAATTTCCTTAACAATTAAATCAAAACCTTTATTTCTTCCCTGGAGTATGGTGGAGTAAGCAAAACATAAACAAATAACAAAAAATTTGGAAGCTTAAGCATCATTTATTTAAGCACTTTATGTTAACAACTTTTATAATGAAAACGTGGGCTCTCTCTAACTACAACCTTTGGAACATAAAATATAGTATTTGTCTAAAACAAACAACGAAACCTAAATGCATGGTCCATATTTTACCCCACCTAAAACGTCAACCAAAAGAGTTGTCAACGTTCGTCCCAACAGTGACTTCATTACACGTGTCCGAAACCCATTCCAAGCTCCATCCCACCAATCAATATCTGACACGCGTCGGCCGACATGGTCCAAACCCAAAAACATAAAGTAGTTATAATAATTAATCAAAACAGTCTTGAGATGCCACTTGGACCCACTGCCTTTCCATTATTGACAAATAATGGGACCCACTTACCCATTTCCATCGCCCCGAAAAGCCCGAAATAGAATCGGGTCCCCTCGTGATCTGACCCTCACGTTATTCTGTCGTCATACGGCTTCATAGTTTCACCATACCTATGTTAGCATATAAATGGCCTTTGAGTGTGGAGTTGGGTTGTTTAATTATTAAAAGTTATAAAATAATTTTTTAATTATAAATTTACGTTTTATTGAGTTTTTTAATTATTAAAAATTATAATATAGTCATTAAATATTTATTATATTTTAAATTTATCATTTTTTGTTAAAATATTAACGATAATTTCAATTGAATGTTAATTTGTTGTCTGAGATATGATAGTCGTTTGAGATTCTAGGATCAAATTTATCATATCTTAGACAACAGATTAACATCCAGCTTAGATTGTCGTTAATTTGTAATGGATAATGATGATTTAGAACATAATTAATAGTCGGGTGATCATTTGTACTTTTAATAGTCAGAGAACTCGACAAACTAACATTATATAGTCAGAGGACCAATTTGTAACGTTTGATAGCTGAGGGACTCAAGAAAATAATATCATATAATCGGGCCCATTTGTATACTTTATCCTAGTGAAAATTAAATTAAGTTATATGTTTTATCATTCAATTTAGTTATACTCTTATTTTGATTACTAGATTTAGAAATTTAATGAAAAATTAGGTGTTAGTGATGAAATTATGGATTTTATTAGAAACATATGTTATTTGGTATTAGACGATGTGATGAAATTTGATTGTTAAGATTGAAGTGGTTGATGATGATTTCAAGTAAAATAAACTTTATAGGTGTTACTGATGAAATGTGGCAATGATTAAATTAATTGTTTTTTTAATTCTTCTTTTTTAGTCGTTAATGGATTTTATTCGTATTTTTTTCTTGGACATTTTTGAAGTATATGGACGTTGAGAGATATTGAGGCTGTTTTCTTTTATTATATCTTAACATTTTTCAGTCATTATTACATTTTAGGATAAATTACGTGTTTAATACCTAGTTAATATCAGTTTTAATTCATTTTATTACTTAAACTTTTAATTTTTAAAAAATTATATCTAAAGTTTAGTTTTTATTTTATTTTAGTATCACCGTTCAAAATTTAACGCTAAGTTTTTTAAAAAAATTAAGTATTAAAACGGACCAAAACTGATAATTTAAGTATTAAGATGTGAAGTTTTTTAATGGTGAGTTATTAAAATAAAACAAATATTAAATATTAAATATAGTTTAAAAAAATAAAAATTTAAATATTAAAACACACTAAAATTAATAGTTTAAATATTAAATGTTTACTTCACCATTGCTTTTATGTCGTAAATATTGCTTTTAATGGTTGAAAAGTTAATTGCGAGCAAAAGTTTGAATAGCGGAGATCATATCATTTGGTGAGTTTGAAAATGTGATACAATATAAGTACATTTTTTAAAAAAATATTGGTTATTTAAAATTGGATGAAATTTTTTAAATTTTAAAAGATAATAAATTTATAAAAATTGAAGAAGAATGAAAACAAATTATTAATTTAAAAAATTAAAATTATAAAAATATTTTAATAAAAATATAAACTAATTATTTCTAAATTCAACCCAAATTTTTTAAAACCTTGATCAATATCTATATCTAACTTCTAAAAATCTAACTTAATTATATATAATCGAAACTGATCAATTTTAAAACTTTTTGATAACTCTATTTTATATAATTTTTTTATAATATAATATTTATTCTAAATGCTCTCAAACATTTATTTGACAGGAATATTTAATCATCATAATGCTCAAACCTAAAACTCTACAAATAACAATAATTTCTTTAACCCTCGTGCCTATTTTATATAAGTTAAAAGATAATTTTACTAGTATATTAATTTATAACTTTATAATCTTCTAAAGACTGGATTATAAATTTATTATTTTTAGATTGGATTGCATTTATATAGTATATTACTCAATTTTTTTTCTAATTTTACTCTGATTATAATTTTTATTAATCATTTTAATATACAATGCCAAAAAGAAAAGAAAATCGAAAACCAAATATGCAAAATCTAATACTAAAAGCAAAAATCAGTATACTAAAGATAGAATCCAACATATATCATGTGAAGCAGCTAACTAAAAGCCACACTCTAATAGTGAAAATGGATAAGGCGGTTGTGTACGCGCCTCCACCCATGCCGCCGCCATTTCTCCGAAATAACCCACTTGCCCATTTCTATCACCATACCCAACTACGTTACTCGTCCCCGACGGCGACATCACCATGCCGTTTCCAATCACCGTCGGAGCCACCAGAACCACCGGTAATTGACTCGTTCCCGTGGCGCAACCGTAGTTCATCAGTTGTATATTTTGCGGCCCCAACAATTCCTTCGAATCCTGATCGGGCGACGGCGACGATTGATAACTAGAGGGAAAAAAATCAATTTCCGGAGAAGCGGCGGCTCCCGGGTGACCGTCTTCTTCCTCCTCCGATTTCACGGAATCGTTATTAGAGACGGCGATGCTCGAAGATGGTGAATATGATGAGTTCGGCATCATGGTCAACCGCGGCTTCTTGTTGGCTTTGAGCTGCCGTGTGCGTTGCTTCTCGAGCATCATACGGGGAAGCAAATCGTGGTCTTGGACGACTTTGTGGAGGAACGCCATCATTTGCTCCGGCCGCCTCTCGGTGGCCTCTAAACGCTTGTTCATCCCTTGCAGCTCTTGTTCCAACGACTTCTGCTCCTCCTTTAGCCGCGCTATTTCCATCACTATTTCTTCGTCGTCTAAATCATCGGCTTTCACTTGCACATATGGAATTTTATTATGCTTCCTCCTCACTATGTTCTTCAACAAATGCTTTTGCCCTCTCAAGAACCATTCGCTCGCAAACTCCCACTTATCCGGATCCACCTTCTTGAATCCCTAAACACAAACAATACAAGAATACAAAACCATGAAAACAATCGAACAAATTTCGTAACCGGGACCGCAATTTAATAGAGTACTCTGATACGGACTTACATAAGTATTGAGCTGGCGAACGAAGCTAGAGAAATTGCCGTGCTTGAAGTAAACAGGCAAGATCCTTTGAGAGAAATCCAAAGGGTCGACGACTATGAAACTATTATTAGCTTTACCCCAAGTGATCAAACCATCAGTAATCGGATCATTCACCATCTGATAAGTTTTAGCGACGAATGGCGCTACCATGTCAGTACTACCGTTAGCATCCATTTCACAAAAAACAAACCCTTTTGATTCTCTGCCTCACCTCTTTAGAGAAGAAAAGGTATCTTTCTTTAGAGAAGAAGGCACAGAGACAGAGAGAGAAAAAGAGCTGAGCTGGTCTCCTTTTCTTATTTTTTTCCCCTATGCGCAGAAACGTGATATAAAAAGGATGGCACTCACAGATTTACAGTGACGAAAAAAGGATGGGGTTGACGTGGCTAAAAATCAGGAGGGGTTTGATATTTCCTTTGGGTGACCCACACTGCTCCGGTTCTATCATCTTTTTGGTCCTGATGGGTTTAGATATTTTTAAGTGTCCGGGGTTTTCATTGGTTCTATTATTTAGATTTGGTGACGTGGTTCCCTGTGGGTTTAAACAATGGGTAAATTACGTGTTTAGTATCTAAATTATTAATTTTAATCTTTTTTAATATCAAAACTTTTAATTTTTTTAAAATCATATATAAAATTTAGTTTTTATTTCTTTTTAGTACCCCGTCGTTAAAAACTTTAAGTTTTTATTTCATTTTACTACTCGTTTAAAATTTAACGTTAAGTATTGAAAATATTGAAAGTTTAAGTACTAAACGCGTTAAGTTATAAAAGCGAGGTACTAAAATCAAATGAAAACTAAACGTTAGATATGACTTTGAAAAAATTAAACGTTTAGGTATTACAATGATCAAAATTGATAGTTTAAGTACTAAATGCCTAATTTACCCTTCAAACAATTGCAACTAGAAAGACAAAGGATATATATATATATATATATATATATATAAGAGGCCAAGCGGGAAGCCAAGAAAACAGTGGCTAAAGCAAAGGATAAGGCATACGAGGAAATGTACAAGAGATTAGACACCAAGGAAGGATAAAACGGCATCTTCAGGCTTGCAAAATCCAGAGAAAATAGGAAAAATGATCTAGGTAGCATTAGGTTTATTAAGGATAACAATGGTGTTCTTTTAGTGAAAGATCATGATATTAAGAAGGTTTGGGGTAGTTACTTCTTTGGCTTATTTAATAAAGGTGCCTCTCCTATAGAGATAGTACCGTTGATGGGTCAGCCGACCATCATACTACGGCAGATGACTGCCCTACAAGTAGGATTGGGTTTGAGGAAGTCAAAATGGCTCTGAGAAAGATGGGGAGGGACAAAGCTGTCGGTCCAGATCAAATTCCAATACTGTATGGTTGGCCCTAGGAGAAGAGGGAGTTAAGTGGTTGACAAACATCTTTAATATTATTTTAGAGACTGCCAAGATGCCAGAGGAGTGGAGAGAGTCTACGATGATACCAATCAATAAGAATAAAGGAGATCCCCATCGTTGTGGCAACTACAGAGGTATTAAACTACTTATCCATACCATGAAGCTATAGGAAAAGGTGATAAAGGCTAGGTTGAGACAGGTTATTAGGGTTTTAGAAAACCAATTTGGCTTTATGCCAGGCAGGTCTACTACGGAGGGGATTCATCTACTTCGACGGCTTATGGAGAAATATAGGGAAAAAAATAAAGATCTTCACATGGCGTTCATTGAACTTGAGAAGGCGTATGATAGCGTTCCCCGCAATACGATCTGGAAGACCTTGGAAACAAGACGGATCCCAACTGTTTATATCCGGGCGATTCGTGATATGTATTGTAGATCTACTACATACGTCAGGATTACAGTTGGCGACACCGAGGCAATCTCGGTGGAAATCGGACTCTACCAGGGGTCGGCTCTTAGCCCTTACATCTTCATCTTGATTATGGACGGCATCTATTGCGCGACACCAGACGGTGTTCCATGGTGTATGCTTTTCGTTGATGACATTGTCCTAGTTGCTGAAACAAAAACTGAGCTGAATAGTATACTGGCTACCTGGAAGATTGCTATGGAAGAAAAAGGTCTAAGGATCAATATTGAAAAGACAGAGTATTTATGTTCAAACTTCAGTGGAAACCAAAACGATGAAGATGCAGAAGTATGCATAAAAGGACATGTTCTCCCCTCGAAGGATTGTTTCAAGTACCTATGGTATATGATATATAAAGATGGGGGGTGTAGATGATGACGTTACACACCGTATAAAGGCGGGATGACTAAAGTGGAGGGCTGCTACTGGAGTTTTGTGTGACAAGAATGTGCCTCTAAAACTTAAGGGAAAATATTATAGAATGGCAATAAGACCAGCGTTGTTGTATGGATCAGAATGTTGGACAATCAAGAAGGATCACGTAAGGAGGATGGAGACCACAGAAATGAGAATGCTTCGATGGGCATGTGGTAGGACTCTGTCGGACATGACACCAAACTCTGCCATTAGGATGTCCTTGGGGGTGGTGCATGTATCCGAAAAATTGAGGGAGGGAAGACTACGGTGGTTTGGGCATGTTCTTAGGCGACAACCGTCGGATGCGGTCAGGAGGGTAGAGTCGATTACAGTCGACGGTGTCAGAAGGAGAGGACGACCAATGCGGATGTGGGAAGACTGCTTGAGATATGATTTGAAGGATTTAGCCCTTACCGAGGACATGACCTCTGATAGGAAAGTATGGAGACTTAAGACTAGGGTAGCCGAGTAGTGAGGGTCACAACCATACGGTGTAACATCTCTGTCTTCTGACTTATACTTTTTATACGTTTCTGTCATTGGAATTTATGAAGGCTTAGAAGTAGGGTAGCGGAGTAGTATTGCCTTAGTTTAGGTTTTAACCCATTTGACTTTATTCCTTATCGTAGCTTGCTATCGTTGACTTCTGTGTATCATTCTCTTCAGGTTTCGTCTTTTTAAATTTAGCCGGGTCTTATGTTTCTGTCTATATGCAGAGAATTTTTACGCAGGGATTTATTTGCAGGGATTACTTCCCATTACAGACGCGCATATGAAGACTGTTCAACTATGTATTTACTTATTTATTTATACATTGCATTTTATCTTTATTTTTAATTTTCTGACTGACGGAGGTCTTCCACAGAAGCTGCTCTCAACCTTGCGTTTAGGGTCAGCATACTACCCTACCTCTCTCTTACCCCATTACATATGGGAATAGGGTTTTGTTGTTGTATATATATATATATATATATATATATATATATATAAAAGAGGATTTATGTATTTTTTCCTCAAACACAATGTAGTTAAATGAGCATTTTCTAAACCACAAGTAGTGTTTTTCTTAAAAAGGAGAGAATTAAATTAATTAGTTTCATTAAAGAGGTCATATAATACCTAAAGTCTATCCTTAGTTCATTTATCACGTGTAAGCTAAGAACTTAATCTAAATTTATTGTTTCATAAATATCTTGATGGTTTCTCAAACAAATGGGCACGCGCTGCGAAGAAGGCGAGTGGAATACAAGTCTAAGAGAGAGTGGACAGTGGCTTGGGTTGGCTGAGGAAAGGAATCCGGTTTGCTTTCGGCTCTTTACGAAAGCCAAGGGTGCGTTGGCTTCAAGCCGTATTTTATTACAGGGGTTGCAAGTGTTGATTCCCTATTGGTCCACGCCTCAGGCCTAACATTTTTTTTATTACTTTTGGATCGCTGCTTCTCCATTGGGGAGCACATTTGAATACCCCCAAATCTATGTTTGTCTCCAATTTGCATGTATTTAGTTTTAGTATATGCTTTCCTTTGTCTTTTCCTTTACTTTTATTTATTTATATTTCGGTTTCTACATTATCTTTTTATTCATCTATCTAATCTTTATACATCAAATTTCTATTCTTCTTAAGATTTTACATTTTGTACTGGTTTAGTTGTAATTCAATTTATATCTTTATAAGTTATTGTTTCATACATAGGTAGTGAAAAAACTAATTCAAACATATATTTATTTGAATGTTATATGTCAAATTCATCGAGTTGTCTTGGAAGTAAAAGAAAATTATTGTTCTCCTAAGTATACAAGTTTGGTTAACTGCGTGTGCATGATATGTTATTAATTGAATAAGAAAAATTATGAACATATACTTTTAGATTAAACTAAAGTGATTACAAAGTATTATTTGTTCTAAATACTCTCAATCATTTGACAATGAACGCTCAATCACCCTACTACAGTTGCTGATGCTCGAACCCATGACCTCTAGGAATAACTATTCCTTTAACTATTGAGGTAAGTTGGTTCGTGCAACATATATTACTTTATAATCACTCATGCTTCAAAAAAAATATCAAAATCTATAACTTTAAACTTTACCTATGACACATGACAATATTGGAACACCATTTGTGAAATATTTTTTTCTAACATCGAAATATGAGATAATAATCCATCTTCTTGTATTAAACTCAATGATTCAACATTAGAAGCAATCGAGAACATATTATAATATGCTATGACCATTTTATAACTGTTTAAAAAGTTTAATAATTAATTTATAGTTTTTAAAAGTTTAATGGCCTATAGATATTATTTTAACAGAATTTAATTTATATACTTTATCTTATTTTTTTCTCTATCCAGAACAAAAATTGCAATAGCAGTTCTAGATCAAGCCAAACTTTTACACTTGATTGACGATTATTATTAGTTTAGGTCTATGGAGCTTTTTTTTTCCTTCTAAAGACAACAATATAAATCTTAATGAAACATTTGAAAGTTTTTTTTAGGTTTAATGGTCACTTTGTATATATAATAAACCTATATTAGTTATTTTATTCAAACCTTTTAATTATATCAATTTTGATGTAAATGCATTTAATCACATCAATTTTGTTTATGATCGGTATTGATCATTACGGTGTTAATGTGACAGTCCAATATGTTGATGTGACAGTCTACGTGTGGATGATGAGGTGACAAAGGAGTTTAATTGTGCCCTCTAACTTGACCAAAATATCAATTAAACCTATTTGTCATGCAGTACAGTAAAATTGTTCTACAACGGTGTTTTTAGCGGTGTTTTGGGAGTAAACGCTACTAATTTTAAATATATAGTGGCGTTTGCATACCAAACGCCACAAAATGGTGCGATATAGTAGTATTTTAGTAGCGTTTCTATAAAAACACCGCTAAAGACTCGTACTTTAGTGGTATTTTTATACAAACGCCACTAGAGACTCGTACTTTAGTGGCATTTTTATACAAACGCCGCTATACACTTGTACTTAATGGCATTTTACAGA